CCCCTTTCCAACACATTCCTGGAAACTGCTGGCTGGCCGATGGCTGCATCACAAGTCTGCCCCTCAGAAGCTCCCATTTACCGAGCATTTCCCTGGGTCAAGGGCCATGTTAATTGTTTCACATGCATTATTTTATGTCATGCCCACTACAACCCTATCATTCTTCCTCTCATTTTACAGATGAGGAATCTGAGGCTCAGAGAGGTTATATTCCTGACCAAAAAGCACAGAGACAGAAAGTGACAGATTCGGATTTGAACCCAGGTTCATCTGACTCTAACACAGATGCTGGATCCCGCCATCTGACTGCTGTCTGCGCAGAACCTTGAACAAGCCACTGTACCTCTCTGAGCCTCAGTTTCCTCCTCTGTAGAGTGAGGATAACCGTATCACCCTCGCAGGGTTGTTGGGAGGGTTAAATGCCCCTGGCACACAGTAGGCTCCTTTTTTCAACAGTTCACACATGACACCATCTCCAGACCGCTCTCCTCTGGCCATGCCTCCGCAGAGCCCTGTATCCCCTGATGAGCCATGCTCCAGCTGCGCACAGCACATCTACGCAGCTCCGACCCGCCCAGAGGAGGGCAACTCCGAAGCCACAGATGCAGCCGGTGACTGTCTTAGCACCAGTCCTTCTGGGCTGGGCCGTCACCCCTGCCCCCATGCCAAGGACACTAGGCTACAGGAAAGCATGGGTGGGGGTGCAGCTGGGAGTAGAGCTATCATCAGACTGATAAGCAGGAGGGTCTAGAGGTGCTGAAATGGGAAGATTCAAGCTCAAGACTGCTGCTTCATTGACTTGCTGAATGACCTTGGAAAGGCTCCTGCCTCCCTCTGGGACACAGCTTGCCCCTCTGTGAAGTGGAGAGGATGAGCTGAATGGCTCTGATGACCCTATAGATCTTCTGGATCATTCATAACACCCTCCTTCCCCTTCTCCTCCTCCTATATCTCCCCGTTTCTGTCCTGGCATTTGGCTGCTCTTGCCCCTACCAGGGATCCATAGAGACACACAGAGAGAGGCTATGTCTTTGATTTGCTTTATTTAGCTTGTGTGGGAGCAGGGAGCAAGCTTTGGCCACAGCCAAGGGTGTGGATGGGAGAGCTGGGCTGGCACTATCCTAGGAGTCAGAGGAGGCAGAACGTGGCATTACAAGTCCATCGGGCTGAGCTCCCTGTGAGGAGATGGCAGTGTAAGTGGACAGTCCTTGTGCCCAAGGGAGACCTCAGGCCAGTCCTGGGCTCCTGTTCTCTTCCCTCCACCCTCCCATTTCAGCCCCAGGGAGCTGGACAGTCAGGGCAGAGACTCAAACCTACCTGGGGGCAGCTGCGTGGGGGGAGCCCCACTCCAAGAAGTCCAGCATATCTTCTTTGTCTCTTTTCCCATACCTAGGAGGGGAGAGGCAGCTGGGGCAAGCGCTGTGCCCAGGTGCCAGCTCACCTGCCTCATGCCTGTCCTTGGACACCATCCCACCTGGGGCACATGGGCCTGGTCAGTACAGAGGCTCTGCTTTCACAAGAGCATGGACGGAGCAGGGGCTGGGGTCGTGGCCCAGGGTCCCAGGAGCTGGGACCTCTCTCCCTCTCTCTTATACACACCTGGGCCTGGTCAGCATGTTGATATATCTGCGGAGCTCAGCTGCATACTGGGCCATCTGCTCTGGTGTGGCGTTGTCCCCCGGGTACACTGGCTCCAGAGGGGCCCCTTCAGTACCCAGTGGTGGCTGCAGCAACAGAGCCACACATGTGGACAGGAGCAGCAGGGAGAGGCAGCAGCGTGTGGCGTCCATCTGAGGAGCAATGAGCAGGGAGATAGAGACGGAACAGCGCCCACCTCGCCAGCCTGGGGCCAAGGAACCAGAGCAAAGTGCCACTCAGACCTGAGCACCCCACCTCCTAGACACTGCCCTGGAGAGCACGAACAGCCCCTCTCGTGACCAGCGCAGCGGCCGGAGCTCAACCAGGGCCTCAGCAAAGTAGAAAAGAGTAATGGAAAAGGTGGGGCCATAGAGCAGGAGGCACGGGGTGCATGACACCCAGGGCCCATTGGCTCTGAGGAAGCAGATGTGAGGTGGGGGTTGGAGGGAAGGGGCTGGTGGTAAGTAAGGGTGCTCCTGCTCACCTACGGGGCAGGAGACTCAGAGTGAACCTGTGAACCAAAGGACAAAAATCCATAGCCTGTGGTCTGCCCTGACCCCCACCTCAGCCAGGGATAGACATGCAGACGCAGACGGTCATGGTCACAAACACGGACCCCAATCACTCACAAGGTCGTAGTCATACACATTTGTGTTTCTAGCCATCACTCACTCCCCACACACATTTTCAGTCTTCTAGTCACAGATTGCTCTTTCGGGGTGACAGATTTGTCCAGATGCAGAGCCAGATCCACACAGGACCTTAGGCCTCCTGAGGCCCTCAGCCCTGCAAAGCAACAACTCCTTCCCCCCATCCCAGGTCCTAGCCCCAGGGAGTTCCCCAGAGCTCCGCAGAGCCTGGGGCAGGCTGAGTCCACTTACCCTGAGTCCCGAACGAGCAAGTCCTAAACCAAGCAGGTGCCTGCTTCAGGCTGGATGGGTGTCCTGCTCTCGGCCATGCCCCTTTATAGTCCTCAGCCCCCCAGAGTCCCCGCCTCCTGTCAGCCTCTCTCACTCCCCAGCCCTCATCCCCTCCTCCCACTGTCTCCCTGGTACCCACGACACCAGTGCTGGGGCCAGGGATGGGAGGGGCACACAGCCGTGTTCTGGGGGCCAGACTAGCAGTGTAACGGGTAAAAGCAGACCACAATAAGTCCCTTGTGGACCCCCATCTGTCTTTGGGCACCAGAGCTGGCTTGGTTCAAGGAGGACAGGGTTCTGGGACCTCAGGATGAATGAAAGGTTCTGATTGCAGACCTCAGAACAGCCCCTCCTCCTGCCTCCCAAGGATGAACCCAAAACTTCAAACAGGTCCCCTCAGAGCAGAAGACGGAGGCTGAGGCTCTGAGACCAGTGATGAAGGATGGAGAGGCAGGACTTCCTCTCCAGTTTGGGATTAGAAGAAGGTGGAAACAGTGAAGATGCCTCAGATAACTAGGCAATGTGGAAAAGAGTGGGGACCCAGGCAGAGAGAAACCCACTCTTTGGCTGGTGTGTAGGACACAGAATTAGAACTGACATGCCTGGGTTCAGGGGAAATGCGGGTGCCAATTTCTGGTAGCCATTTCAGAGCCCCCATTCCAGGGAATTGATTAAGACCAGCGTCATTTGTAAAGCCTTGAATTTTCCACTGTGCTCCCAGCTCAATCACCTCACCAAGTCCCTACAACAACCCATTTTACAGATTCAGAAACTAAGGCTCAGAGCCATTATGTCTTATATAACTAGTCAGTGAGACAGTCAGAGATTGAAACAAACTCTAACTCCAAAATCGGAACTTTTTTTTATCTAAGTGGGGCTGTCAGAGTTTTGCTATAATTTCTCACTTTTTAGCTGAGAAATGTGAGGCTCTCAGAAGTGAAGACATTTGCCCAAGATCACACAGCTGTCTACAACTCGAGTTCTGGCCTAGATTCCCAACCCCACCAATCCCAGCAGTCCTCCCACTCAGGAGCCTCTGACTCTCCCTCTGCATCCCTTCCCCACCTCCCAGCCCCTCCCCAGCTCAGGCGGAGGAGCAGTAGCTGGCTGTGTCTCAACGACACACCAAAGCCCAAGAAAGGAGTAAAGGACCTCTCACTCTCGAGGTTCTGCTGTCCCAGGTCAGGACGCCATAAGTGTGTGTTAGGAGAGGAGTTGGGGTGGTGGGGTGAGGACTGGGGATAATGCCGCTGGGATCTGAGCTTCAATTTTCCTCAAGATAATGAAGATAAAGGAAGGCTCAGTAAACATCCGTGTTCTGCTTGTTCCTCGCAATTCCGATATCTGGTGACAAGAAGAACAATAATGCTTCACCCAACAACTGACATTCCAACAAAGCAAATATGGAGATGTTCTGTCTCCACAAGCCCCTGCCCTTCCCTGGGCCTAGGTTCAGAATTTGCGAAACAAGGAAGGTGAGTATGCCACCAGGGGGCACCAGGCTCCAGCCCGAGTTGGAAGAGTCTGGGCTCCCATAGGACTACAGCCTGGTGGGACCTGTTCTGGCCACTATTTTCGTCAGGCTCCAGCCCCTGCAGACAGATGGTGGATCTGGGAATTGACTCAAGTGCTGGGGCCATTAATAGTTTTGTAAACAGCTTTGTCACTGCCTAAGAAATGAAAGGTACTTCACGATGTCAACTGAACCTATAGCTTTCATTTTTCTCTTTTGCAAATAACAAATCCCTCTTCTGGGACCTCTCTGGGATGTTATGACAACTGAGGAGGAAGAGGTAGTAGCTGTGCTTTCGAAACAGTATGGCCATGTCCAGAACTGCGATAGTTGGTTCTCATTCATCTTTATAGATTCCCAGGGCTTGGGAGTCCTGCTTCGAGTGGCATCAGGGACTTACTTGCAGGCAGGCTAAGTGGAAATGACAGTGGTCCCTCTCCCCCTGCCCAACCACATGCCCACTGGGACAGGGAAGATGACCATTGGGCAGTGTTGGGGATAGAGTGAGGGCCATGATGAGACTAGGAAAAGAACACCCCAGAAACCCCTGAGGTCACAGGGTAAAGGTGAATGGGGGTCCCCACATATAAGACTGCAAGGAGTTTAACCAGCATCGCATCTTTCATAAGAATGCCTCCATGTAGGTCCGACTACCCCAAAAACATCATGCTGGAGAGGCCACATGTAGGTGCTACATCAACAGCCTTAGCTGAGCTCCTAGCCAATATCCAGGAGCACCCACTGGACACATGAGTGAGCCTTCTTGGACATCAGCCCCGTGGAGTCCTGAGTTAGACAGCTGCAGCCTCAGCAAACCTCTAACTCACTATGTGAGCGACTCCACGTGACAACTGCTTAGTCAAGCTCTTCCCAATCCTGACCTACGAAATCATGAGTGAAGTTGAATGGTTGTTTTAAGCTCCTAAGTTTTAGGGTAACTTGTTATGCAGCGTGGTAACGGCAGACCTACTCTTCTCCCATTCCTCCCTTCCCACTGGCTGGAACACCCAAACCGGCGATGGTGGGCCATCTTCAGTCATGTAGATGAGGGCATGGGGAACCCACAAAATAGGACCCTGGGCTCTTGGATGTCCTCAGAGAGCGGAGCTACCAACTCCCCAGATGCCACTTGTGTTTTATATAAGAGAGAAATAAATTTCTATCTTGTTTAAGCCACTGTTAATTCTGTCTCTATTTAAGAAGCCAAATCAATACCCTAAAAATATAATGTGTGTAAAACAAATAGCTCGGTGTCTAGCACATAAGTGCTCTTTTTAAAAGGTAGCTCATTGCTGTCATCATCATTAATATTACATCTAAGGCTCCCTCCACTCCAACGTTGAGTCTGATCAGCAGTGAATTAACCACCTTCTCAAAACTCCACCATGTAAATGAAAGGTTAACCCATGTCACTGATAGTCAACCAGACATGTCAAGCTGGGCAGAAATTGTCTGTGACCATGCAGAATTCATACCAAAGATCTCCTCCATCAGCCTCAAACTGATCACTGCCCTCCCAGATAGACCAAAAGATGGGATTATGGACACTGACACAGATACACATCCTCCCGCTTGCCTGACGGCGAAATGAACCAAAGCTCGTGGCAGCCAATTTATGCCCTTATCCTACCTCTCCTGGTGCAGGGGGAATGGGATTGGAGGAGAGAAGATGGGGGACGGGGGGCAGATAAGATAGGAAGTGGATCTCAGATAATGACAGTAGGCAGAGGGAAGCAGAGAAACTAACTCTACCCTGAGAAATAAGGAAAGGCTTCTGGGAGAACACTCCCCTGAAGATGTTTGCCAGACCGAAGGAAGGAAAATGGCTCTGAAGGCGGAGGAGGGGCCTGGGGAAAAGCCTCAGAGTCCGCATAGCTTGTGACCTGCACCAGTCCCCGGACCTGCCTTCACCTCATGCTTCCGCCCCTACCTCGAATGAGACTGGAGGGCAAGATAGGGGTCAGAGCTCCGAGGCCACCTAGAACAGGTTGTATCCATACAGGAGCCACTCTTACAGTTATGGGTCTTCTCCCAGAGCCACCTAACTGCAGATAGTCCTGCATGGCCCTATCCTCCAAAGTGACACCACTCAGCCTTTCCGCCTTTTTTACCCTCTCTGGGTCTGGGGCTTTGGCCTCAATCTGATTCTCCCTCCCATCCCCCAGCTCCCCACCTCAGCCTCAGCCAGGTACTGCTGAACTAGAAGCCCAGGAAAGAGCTCACAGAGGAGGCTGCGTCTGATGGAGGAGACATAAGCCTTTCCTTCAGGGGAGCCACCAGATCTAGATCAGAGACAGGACACAAAGAGATGGGCAAAATAGAGCAGTGTCCATGAGAGCTGGGCAGCCACGGAGGGCAGGGAAAATGCTAGATCATCAGGGACAGTCGAGGTAGGCCTCCTGGAGAAAGGGGGCTGGGAAGGAAGGGCGTCAGAGACCAGCCTCGCGGTCACAGGTGCAGAGCGATGAGAGATTCAGGTCAGATTCCAGTTTAAACATCTACAGTGCCTTCGGCCTTTTGTGTCTGGTCCCGGGGAAGAGAAAAGGGGAGCACAGGAGGGTGCACCCATGGCCTTGTCACCAGAAAGGCACAGTTAGTGACTTTTCCACTGAACATGAATTCAGCAAGGCGGTGGAGGGCAGTTGCTACGGAAGAAGGCAGTCTCCACACTCCCATAACTCCTCCCGCCCAGGGAATGGGGGATGTTAGTTATAACCCCCCACACACAAACCTCACTCCCCAACTGGCTCTAACTCCACAGCTCCATCTTGGATCCCATCTGCACCCCCAGTCACTAGAGCCCTGGGGGTTAGTAACACATCTCCTCAGGGTAAACACCCTGGGGGTTTGTGCCTAGCACGCGAACCCAACCGCTTTCATCTTGAGGGGGGCTGCTCTGTCCCCCTCTACTCTCCTGGGCTGCTTAGCATGCTCTTTTCCACCCTCTCCACCTCCCAGTGACTTCTTCCTGCTCCTCCCTGCGCTTTTGAAGAACTTTCATTCTGCCCTCCTCCTACCCCACTAGGGAGTTCCACGGGAGTCCCTGTCTGGCCGCTCTCCACTCCCAGGGCTGGGCAGCGATGTCTTCTTTTAGCTCAGAGCAGCGGGAGCCCCCATTCCAGCCCAGCCATGTCCTGGGAAGCCTTTTATCTGAGGTGCCCAGCCTTCTCTCATCTCTTGCACCTCCATCCCACCTGGATACCCCCTCTAAGAAGGAGAAACGAAAGGAAATACAAACGCACACATTCCAATTCAGTGAAATTTGCTCTTTATTTGGGGATCAGGGAAGGGCCGCATACAGCCCTCCAGCCCAGTGCGGGAGGGGAGCACGGAGAAATGGAACTAGGACCCTACCCTGAAGCCTACCCAGCCGCAAATATGCAAATGAGGTCGGTGTAGGTAGCATCTCTCCCAGGAGGCCTTGGGGGTCGTCACCACTGGTAGGCGACTTCAGGCCTGTAGGAGGGAAAGGAGAGGCATCGCAAGGAGCCCGGCCAAGGACCTGGAGAGGCGAGACTGGGGGTAAGTTCTAGATGGCGGTGCAGGGTGGGACTCCGTGGGGCAGCAGGACAACGTCGCGCTCTAGAGGGCGTGACGAGGGGGGCGCTTTTACCGCGACGTGACCGGGCGGTCGGGGCCGTCTGGGAAGAGCAGTTTCGAGAGGAGCTCTGCTGGGCTGTCCCGTTTCCCATACCTGGGGGCGGGATCAGAGATGGGCGCGGTCAGATCTGGCCACGCCCTGGGTGGAGCGGGGCGGAGGGTGGGAGCCTCAGAGACCCGGCTCTGACCCTCCCTCCGGGAGCGCGCGCTCACCGCTGCCGAGTGACCAAGTTGAGGTAGTGGCGCAGGGACGCGTAGTAGCGGCTCAGCTCCTCGGGTGAGGCGTCTTCGCCGGGAGCCTCGGGTTTAGTGGGGTAGGCGTCGACCAGCGCCCCCAGGCAGGCGAGCAGGGCCAGCAGCACTGTGGCCATAGCGGGCCACGGCCTGCGAACCGTCACCATCTGCAGAAGGGGCAGTGGAGCGTGGGCCATCCCAAGCCTCGACCCCCGACGGCAGGGGACTGAGGCTGCCGTTGGGCCCACGCTCCAGCAGCCTGTCTAGGGCTGGTACGGGACCACGGCTCAGCCACCGACTCGCTGCGTGTTCTCAGGCACTGCACTGCCTCTGGCCTCAGTTTCCTCATCGGTCGGAGGGGCGTGAGCCCTGCCTGCCTCCCCTCCTCTCACTCGTGCTGCCCAGAACGGTGGGCGGAGGAAGAGGGCTATGCTGGCTGTGGGGCCTCCTAGGCCTCTTTCCTACCCACTTCTGCTGGCTCCCTTCCAACCCAGCTGCCCATCACTCGGCCACAGTTTCCACCTTCCCAGCCTCAGTTTCACACAAAATAGCCTGGGTTACCCGCGTCAGACCATTCTTGGGCCGCAGGACACTCACAGCAACAGCTCCTGAAACCTAGATAAGCAGGAAATGGAGAAAGGAGTCCCAAGGACTGGACTGCTGCAGATTGCCTTGTGGCCTCCTCTGCTCAGCGCTTCCCTGCGGGGCTTATATCCCAGCCTGGCGAGGGAGGGGGAATCTGAGGGGGAGGGGGAGCCCAAGGGGGGAGGGCCCTTCTTCCTCCCTTCCTCCACCCCTGCCAGATCGCTGAGCTTACACCCTTACACCCAGGCAGTGCACGGTGTCTCCACCTTGCAGGAGCTGCCAGCCGCCATGCTGGGAAGCAAGGTTCCTCTGGACCCAGCGCCTAGCCTGAACCCAGTCTTCACCCCACAGCCCCACGACAGCAGTTCTAGCCTCCTGAGGAAGTGAAGCATTTGGATCTAGACTCCTGGGGCAGCCCCTTGGACCAAGGAAGAGATTCCATCTTCCCTAGCCTGTCCACGGGTGGGGAGTAGGGGGCGGGAGGCCAGACACATTTTCTCCAGCCTGTGGGACCTGTGACCTCTCCTTTGAAAAGACAATCTTTTCAGCTCTGCTCAGCAATACCTTGGAGAAGAGCCGGGACTGACAGGATCTATAGGGAAGTCTCTTTCTACTGGCGGCAGGAGTGGGAGCTATGACCTTGCTCTTGACCTGCTGCTTATAATGTCCTGGAAGACAGGCCTCTCTGGACATTATATCCCTCTCCTTTAAAGAAGTGGAAAGAGGGGCAGTAGGAGGCAGAGGCCACTTCCCTCCCCAGAAGCAGCTGAGTTGGCCACCTGTACATTCAGCCTGGCATATGCAGGCCTGACTTCAACCAAGCCTGGCATAGAGACCCCTTCCAAGGTAGCGTGCCCTCATCCCCATCCAGGTGATGCCAGGGCTACCTAAGCATGTGCCACTGTCCTCAACCCTTTGTAGTCTCCAGGGCAAGATCTTCAGCCAGGTGCTTTGAAGGAAAGAGGAAAGGACTAGCGTTTATTAAGCACATACTAGGCAGTACATGATGCCAGGCCCAACAGCACCGTGACCTGACTTTATCCCCAGTTTACAGATGAGGAAACTGAAGCTTAGAGAGGCGAGTGAACTGCCAAGGTCACCCAGGATTCAAACAAGAGAAAAGGGCTGAGGCAGACCCCAGGAAGAGACCCTCTCAGTCATGAGGCACAGAAAGGCTCACTACCTGGAATAACCATGGGGCTCAGGAGTCCTGCATGGGAGCAGGGGATGGGAGGCTAAATTTGGGGCCTGCCATATCTTTTGAGAGGCCAGGGTACAGAGGGGCCTCCAGACTGCCAACCCCATCAGACCCACCTACCCTAGCAGGAAGAGGGGTTGCTGAGGAGTCTCCCCATAAAGCCTTTTCCAGCTCCCTTTCCCCAGCCTGGCCAGAGCCCCCAGGGCTTTCTGGCTTCCCATCAGCCATGAGGGCGGGAGGGGCCATCTTGTCCAGCCTCCTGGTTCTGGGCCAGCCGCTCCACCCTCCAGCACAGATGGCCGTGGGTGTTATTTTTAGAGCTCTCCTGAGGTGGAGAGTCCGGGGCTCCCTCAATCACCTTTTTATAGGTTCAATCACCTGCACTCTCCGGAAATGGCTCCTTATCAGCCAGTTGGGCCCCATGGGCTCTGCACATCCCAAGAAAGGCAGGGCAGTGTGCTGAGCATGGAGGTGGAAGAGGACATCAGGGCCAGGGGACATGGACCCTCTCATCAGAGGGAGGAGAAAAATCATCCTTAGGAAGCTTGCGTCTGATGGGCAAGGCATGGCCCTATTCTCCAGGAAGCCCGGTGTCAGAGGAGTCATGGCCGTATCCTTGGGGATCCCCAGGCTGAGGTGAGGGGTGCAGCAGTATCACTAGGGAGCCACAGCCTGAGGAGAAGGCCTTCCACTATCCTGGTAGAGTCCCAGTCTGAGGAGCTCCCAGCACGTAGGGACAAACCCAGAGAGACAAGCCTGGGTCCAGTTTGGAGAGGACACAGCAGACATAAAAGAACTCCCCGCCTCCAGAGGCCATGGAGAGACTAAGGCAGGTGCTCACCCTGCAGATGGAAAGGACAGCCAGGGGCCTGGTGAGGACAGCTGCAATCCCAGGCGTCCGGGCCTGGACCAGGACCCTGCAGGCTGAAGGGGCAAGAATATCCGAGAGAATGGGGGCCATTTGCTCTTCTGACCCTGCCACACTAGCTGGGTGGTGACAGGGAGTTTCCAGTGTGCAGATCCCAGGCCAAGAGAGATGACAGGAGTTGTGAGACACCCACAGAGAGTCTGTGGCACCCCTGGAACCCTTCAAACCTTGAGATGTGGGGGTCTGAGGATGGGAGAAGAAACCATGGGGAAGCTATAGGGCATGGGAAAGGCCCGGATTCCGGGTACAGCCTCTGAAGAAGTCGCTCCCCCATTCACATTCAGCGTGAAAGTAAATGGGACCCGAGGAAGTCCCTCAGGGTGCATCGGGAGCCAGCCCCCTAACCATCACTCGCCCTCCAATTACAAGGCAAGCTGATTGGTTCATTAATCACCACTTCCTCACTGAAGAGTTTATTAACTTGTTGATTAGTGGGGAGGATATCTCAGCCCTCGATCAATAGGCTCAGCTACCACCTGCCACCCACACACCCACCGTCATCACTGACCTGTGACTCAGTAACTATGAGACATGGCTGGAGGTGGAGAGCTGACATCTGTGAGGGAAGAAACTTCAAATACTTGGGACCAGCACCTGCTTCCAACTTGTCCTCAAAAGGTAAGGGCAGACAGAATCACTGAGATTTCCTTGATCCCTATCCTCAGAGCACCTAGCAAGGCCACCCCAGGGGTCAGGGAGGCCATGGACTTGAACCCCAGCTGACCATTTCCTTTTCCCAGTGGGCTCAAGGGCCACCTATCAAGATAGTCTTAGCATTCTGTACTCCATCACCCACCCTCCCTCCTCCACTCCCCGTACACAAGGCATCTCTTTGATAGACCATGCACTGGGCAGTGCTAGTTCACGGCCTTCTACCTTCTGGCAAGACCTCATGCCCGAGGTCTTACAGACAGCAGGTTGCCATGCAGCAAGAGTGATTCAGCTCTCATCCAACAAGTACTCGTTATGTCCCTACCACATGCCAGGCACTATTCTAGGCAATGAACGGAGCAATGAACAAATAGGCAAAGTCCTTGCCCTCATGGAGCTTGCATTCAAGTGGCAGGAAATAAAAAATAAATGAATCGAAAAGCAAGCATGTAGTATGTCTGGTGATGATAAGTGCTATAGGAAAAACTCAGCATAAGAAGGATAAGGTGTGCTAGGCTAAGAGGACTTATTTTACATTTTGTGGTTAGGGAAGACCTCGCCTATAACATGGTGTTTGAAGGAAGTGAGGAAGCAAACCATGGAGCTACCTTAGGACGAGTGCTCCAGGCAGGAGAAAGAGCAAGTACAAAGGCCCTGCGGTGGGAACATGCTTGGCAGCTTGAGGGAATGCGAGGGGTCTCATGTGGCTGGAGTGGAGTGAGCAACAGGGAGTTGGAAGGAGAGGAGATCGGGGAGGCATCAGGAGATCAGATAATATAGAGCCTCGTTAGCTGCTATAGGGACATGGGCTTTTGCTCAGAGTGAGATGAGAGCTCTAGTAGAAGTCAAAGGATATGACTTACGTGTTAAAAAAAAAAAGAAAGAGAGAATAGACTGTGTTGAGAATAGACTGAAGGGGTTAAGGGCAGAAGCAGGGAGGCCAGTTAGAAACCTATTGTGATAATCCGGCCAGGAGGTGATGATGGTGTGCGTGTGAGTGCACGTGCACGCACACACACCCTCTTCACAGCTGCCAATGTCTGACACATGTTTCACTCAAGAACAACTTCCAGTTACATCTATATAGTACCGACAGCCTTTCATCTAGCTGAAAAATTCCTCTGGAGAAGATAGCAGAAAATCAATGAATGTCTGCAGTAGTGAGGTGGCGAATCTGTCTGCTCTCTGATTGTGAAGGCACCTCATTTATTAGCCCATGTGAAACTCTCAAGGCTACTTTGATCACTGGCCACAGCTCAGGAAAATACTGACTACTGTCATGGTCCTTATAAAAACGCAAGCTCGTCATTTTATCATGAGTGTAAATGTCCTCTCACTTAAAACACTCTAGCCTTTTTTTGTTTGAAATAAAGCAGAAAATGAAGAATAAGCAGTAGACACCATTGAAAAATGGCCACATCTCTCCAAAGGGATATTAGCCATAATGAAGGAAACTTTGTCACCTTCTTGGACAAATGGTCGGGAAGCAGGCAGAGGCACTGTCTATTTCTCATGATCTTCCATCACTTGCAAAACACCATGGAGGGCAAGGAGGGCCATGGGTGAATGAATGAGATCAATGAGCATTGTCCAAACTGTCACACTGTGGATCCTGGTAATATTCAGGGGATGGAAGTGGGAGACGGTAAGAAAGAATTTTCACTTTTTATGATAGTAGCTCTCCTATGAGACCTCCCCTCACTTGAAGTTGCAGGTCCTTGTGTAAAATGCAGTGACAGAAACCTGTGGCATGGTGCAAAGCCAAGGCTCAGGCTTCTCTCTACAACAGATATCAGTGAAGTCTT